AATTATGCCGTATAACCTGATATATTTTTGTGATGTTCAGCATATTTACCTTGCAGTCTTACTCTGAGTTAAATTGTCTACATTGCAAGGTGGTTTATTCATTAGAGGTAAAACTAATATATATGTTATAACACATTCAGTCTTTTAACCTTGAGACACATTCCATTGCAGTTGTGCAACCCAAGCTTCCCGGCGTAGCCTATGGAGTTTCGGCGACGGCGTTGGTCCAACAGCGTCGGTGGATAAAAGGACCGCTGGCACTGGACGATCTTTGGGGTCGTTCTCAAATCAGCCCGTCTTTCAGCAGAATAATCCATGGACCATTTGTTCCGACGTTATTAGGAATCTCTTATCCGATTGTCTGATGGCGCAGGGTGGGCTGGCAGAGGCAAACCGGTTTACAGCCCTTTGTGCGTATGCTGCGGCCCAAGCCCCAAGTAACTGGTACAGCATCCAGTTAGCGATATGTGAAGTCATCGCCAAACTAGTGGACCGTTGTAGCTTAAGGAGAGCTACGGTAGAGGGCTGGGTTGGAAAGACCGGCTGCGGCCAGTTTCAGGAGATGGAGGAAGGGAGGGTTGAAGTTGAAAGGGATGACAAACACGTCATGTCAGCAAATATGCAGCCAGCGAAAGAGGTGATTGGCGACACGCGTGCTGGTCCCTCGGAAAGGAGCAAAAACGAGCTTGATCGACTACCGGCGAAGATTCAGTCAAGAGACGTTGTACTTGAGCGTATCAAGAAGATGTCCCCGGCGTCGCCTGAACACAATACACTTGATGATCTTGTCAAACAAATAAATAACGGACAGGCCTAACCTACCGGTGCAGGAATGTTCGTAACATGCTTGATATCAATAGGCAATATCTTTTCTCGGTTCATTTTTTTGGTGCTTTGAAGAAAAATTTATTTCTAAATTTGTGTTTTTTTCCTTTTTGTTACCATAAGGTAAAGACAATGGGACAACTCAAGAATTCTATTTTGATAAAAAGAATTCTATTTTAATAAAACCACCATTTCAAAGGAAAAATTCATACGTGCACAATTCTTTGGCTTACACAGTGTTACAACAATCAATAAAGGTTTACACGAGGGAAATGTTTGTTGCGTCTTCTTTTTGCCAAATACTAAGATGGCCTATTCGTTACTTTTTTCCAAAGAGTGAAAAGAACCGGGGGCACCATGTAAGTCACTCATGTGAACCCCTATACTGGTATAAGAATACGATTAATGTCTTTACCGTGTGAATTCCCACTCACTTCTTGTTATACAGGGNGACTGTGCAACCCCACATCGAGCTCGCAGAATCACTGTTTTTCTTCAAAACCAGTAGGTTCAGCAACTGCCCTGGCCTGCAAACTCCCCAGTAATGAACCCAATTGAAAATCTGTGGGCGGAAGTAACTCAGAGAATTAATAGCTATGGTCATCGGCCGGTAAATAGTGATGAAATGCGACAGGCAAATATCACTGCGTGGAATGATATCCACATCCAAACTCTAAAAAACTTGTCACAGGGTATGGCATGTAGGATGAGGGCGCTGCAAGCGGCTGCTGGAGGTCATACCCGCTATTGATGACTTTTCATGATTTACTGTAATGATTTCTTTGACTGTGTAACTTATCACTGTCCGGAGGCTATCATTTTCTTTAATATCTTAGCTTAAAGTTAATACTGACATCAAACTGTTGATATGGTTTTCTGGGGGTGTTCTTTTCTTTTGAATGACATCTTATGTCAGATTTGATATTATTGACCAAAATATCTCACAATGGAAGACTGGATATTTTTCTCACTCAATGATATACTTTTTTGATGAATCAAGCCAAAAAATATTTAATCAGCACTCAAAAATAACAATGATAAAAAATATTCCATATTAAGTAGCAACCCTGTAGGTATCATTCTCTGCAGAGTTACAGATGAATGTAGACTTGGGATATCTAGAAACTTTAACTAAAATTAGTATTAAATGGCCTTTTACAGCCGAATACTACTGACGCCCCAATTTTTTTTTATTTTTATTTATTTGTTTTTAATTTTTTTTTTTGGGGGGGGGGGGTAAAGAGTATACTGTGCGCGTTTCAAAGTTTTCTCAAATCATATTTAACATGTCTATATGTCCTGAAATCTAATTACATTTCCCATCCAGACCTTAAAATGATAAACCCCCTCGTGTAAAAGTACCTGACGCAATTGGAAATGTACCGTCATTTATAATAATAATAATAATAATTTATTGAGCATTAAAATGTGTACAGTTACATTTTACAAGCTCTCTAAACTACAGTTTTACATAAATTGTGTACATAAGCTTAAATAAGTATAACTACTTTAGATCATTCAATTACCAAAATACATATAATTAGCTAACTACTTCATACATATAGTTCACAATAGTAAGACACAATATAATAATACTGGATATAGTATTTTGTACAATATGCATTTGCTACTTAGGCATAACTGACTGTATATACTTGGCCAATGCTGATGCACTTGCACGACACTGTGGATTGAGAATTTGTATTATTTTGCTATCATCATCAGTGCCTGATTGACCAAAGAATCGTGACAGGGAATCAAACATTTTTTATCGCTCACGTTGATGCTGAGTGCAGATCATTTAGAATAAATCATTTCAATTGAAATTATATACAACATCAAATACAACTATATAGGGACAGATCGACCAATGATTCTTGAGTAGTAGGCAATTATTATTTATTCAGGGGAAATCGATTTGACGATTAAATTCTTTTATCAAAAGATAAAAATCAAAAGTCAGCTCTGAAAAGTTCGTTCAGATGAAGATTCCTATCACGAGGATTCATATGTATATCTTTTCTTACCGCTCTACCCCATATCCCACTTTAGTGACAGCATATACAGTATGTTAGGACAAAATTGCATTAAGAATATGACAATCGCGTGCTGTTACCCCCTGCATTGCAACCCTTGACATGTAACATGCAGGGATTAATCATCAATCAGATGGATTCATTTCCATTATTGGTTTATTTTAGTCGTCTTGGGTCTTGCTACTGGCTATTTACTGTTAATTAAACTAAACTCATTTGCTGTAATTTGCCTGCAGCTTGTAGTACGCTAAAGGTTTAAGGCACTCCAGGGCATAAAACTTGCAATTCAGTGGTGGTAATAACCGGCAGGCCTTGGTATTTTGTACACTTTCTTCTTTCTTTTTCATTGCGAGCGTTTTTGCAAGTCATCTTTGCGAACTTCAGATATCGACTTGACAATTTTCCCATACGTTCCACTAGTTAACTAGAAAAGCACTCAGAGAGCGCAGACCTCCGCCAAGGCAGCAAAGTCTCCATCCAATGTCGTTTCACCCCTAAATTTTCGATATTTTTGATTATTGATTATTGATTGATTTTGTGATCCGGATCACCACCAAAAACTAATCATCTCTTCCTTGGCCCACTTCTGACAGTTCCTGAAAATTTCATCAAAATCGGTCCATAAATTTTTGAGTTATATTGATGACAGACGGACAAACAAACAGGGGTGAAAACATAACCTCCTTGGCGGAGGTGATAAATCCGTTCCGACAATCAAAATAAGTACCTATTTTTTAAGTTTATTTACTTTTTTGAAAAATAACTCAAGACATTATTACAGACTCGAGAGGGTAGCCATCTAGTAGGTGACGTGGTCCGATGACAAGTGCAGATTTCTGAATAATTGCGATAATCGCCGTTTTGGTGATAAAATAAAATTGATTACATTTCTATGAATTGTTTACGATGGAGAGTTGTTTTCCCTTTAACTTACAGTCATGACTCATTTTCTCAATCATTACCGTAATCATTCTTACGCTGGCCAAAATACTGGTAAGAACGGTCCCACCTTTTTACCTGCATTAATATTATTATCATTATTATTATTATTATTATTGCAAATATAAGGCTTACCTGAAAAAAATAAGATCAGGTGTAGTTTCTAAATTACTACAACAACAGAACAGTGATAGATAGTGAACAGGCACTGTGATTTTCTTACTTCGATTTCCTGTCTCCATGGCTCCGTGTGGTATTCAGCTACGAAAGACAGTCATCTTATAGCCTATTATGTGTCTGCGATAAATTATAGCTGGAAAGGATGCAGCTAGTCGGCGCATGCGTGTTATGGTTATCTAGTTAAAGGATGCACGACAAGCATTATTTGACCTGTGTCTGTTGACGTATTCAGTTTTGTAATAAGACTGCCTGGCCAAAGAATGTCGATTGCTCTGTCTTTAGAAGCAGACCGACAGTGACCTGCGGAGAGTAAGAATGCATGTGTATCACACACTGATGTAGTAGTGTACAGGTGAGACTGACGAGGCACAGTGAAAGCAGTATATCTACTATTATCCTTCCACTTGGTGACAGTACATGTAGTTCTCGGAAATATGTGTAGCAAAAGCTCTGTCACACATTCAAATTGTTTGCTGTACTCTTGTTGAATCGGTCCTGCAAATCGGATTTACTGGGCCATATAAGTTCACTGCAGATGTGTCATATGGACACATGTTTGTTTAGCAAATTACTTGCCAAAACGTTATTTTTATCTGTGCCAGACGAGGGGAAATATACTCGTACCGCAGACAGGGTTCTTAACATGACGCGCAACANTCAACTTGTGTACTAGTACACGTACAGTCACTCACTTTCCTTTACCTCCATGTATAGTACTATACATCCACGATCAGTTAAGACGTAGTCCATCTATCCTAGCTCCTTGCTCTCCACGCCTACATGTCTCTCTTTCCTTCCTATCTCAGTGGGTGTGTCCAAAAACCTCCACATCCGGGCTCCTTTATTTTTGTCCACAGTTGTCACCAAAGGTGACCACGAGTTATACTCGCTTTAGTTATAATGCCCATTGATAGGATACAATTGACAGGAGTACTAGTGCAACGTAACAGTGATCACAGCTATATGTATAAAAATATGTATTTATTTATTTACTTCTGTAATTACGTGTTTACAGTTGCCAAAATTCCATTACCTTTGTGAAGATGGAGTGTGGAATGTCCGGAAAGCATGTGCAGAGTGTTTCACGGCCGTTTCGTGTGCGTGCTCACAAGAATGTCGCAAGAAAGAACTAGCTGGGCTGTTCATTAACTTATTATGTGATCAATCTAGATGGGTAAGTACTGCATTAATTTTTAAAGGTACATACGAACCGAGCATCGGTGGAGCGTGGATTCCCAGTAACACACGTAAACCACTTCTACTAGATTCTTATATGACTCAAATAAATTCGACATGCCAAGGGATAAACTGAATAGAGCACTCAATCAGCCATAAAAGACCTTTAGACTGCTCCTTTCTTTAAATTTATGGTTGTAAATTTAACCTACTTTCGTGACTTACTTTCCTACCCCATTGACATACAGCTTAGAATGGCAGCAGAAAAATCCGTTCAAACATCATTTTCGGGTAAAATTAAATAATGCCTTTTGGTAATTCTCTTAGTTATACTACTTGAAGCCATATGCTGGCATTTGGTTGGTTTTTGTGACAAAAAATTGACTTTGTATGCATCTTTAAAGTTTATTTTGTTTGTGAAGTTGGTACATGTTTGGCATTTCAAAATCAAAATCCTTATTGTCTCTAGTGATGCTGTGGTTACAATGGCCAAAATTTGTTTTGTTTATGGAATAAAATTAATTGAAGAAAGAGATCTTGGTTTAATTTGAAGGTCCAGGTAGAATTGAGTTAAAATAAACCCCTTCCAATCTGAACTGTTCATAAACCAAAGACCAAATTACAGATCAGCCGCCTGGTACCACATTATATCAGACAACCTGATTTTGATCAGTTGCCGTTTTCACTCATGTCACCCTTCACTAAACCCAAATGTCCTCTGATAAAACATGTTTTTGTTTTTTCTTATCTAGGTGCGTATGGCAGCTTTCCAGGCTCTAGGTCCCTTCATCTCCACTTTTGCTGATCCCAGCATCACTGGGCTCTACTTCAATGAAGATGGTGTCTTATCGGTCGGACAGGTGGCGCCACAGAAAAACAAGTGAGATTTCCTTTATATTAGTTGTACAATAATTACTGAACTTACGTTTTTTTTTTCTTTCTGACATTAAAGCAGTTTGAGGTAGTCATTTTGCTTTTCATATTGTTATTGATTCTAGAATTTACTGACTCCTAGTCAGCATGTTGTTTTGCTTAGATGAGCTTAGATGAGAAATGAGAATTGCGCTTCATTTTTTGCAGCACCATATCTCCAACAACAGAAGAGGCAAACAACAACAAAAGTGATGGAGAGAAGAAGGGAGAAGAAGGAAATCCAGAGGGGACCAAAGAGGGTGACAAAGAGCAGGAGGTGAAGACTCCTGAAATTCCAAACAACACAATTCAGCATCAAGAACAACAAATAGGCAGTAACAGTAATAATGCAAGGACTAGTACAAATGACACCGACAGCGTTCAGGATTCTAGGCAGGTGACAGAATCGGTGTCTGATAAGAGTGGTTCCACGGCTGAAGAAGCTATTGACAATAGTCAGAATGATATTTTATCTATAGAAGATTACATAAATAACCTTGCTATGGAAATTGAGGCGAGTAGTTTAAGTGAAGAGAACGGCAGTGGAGATGGTATCGATAAGCATAATGACGTGCTTTCCGTCGAAGAAAAGCGTGCCGAAAAGTGGAAGCAGTCTCATCCCAGTGTGCCTCAGTCATCAGATCCCGATTCCGATGACGTCATTAACGCCTGTGATACACCAAGCGAACAAGGTTTTCAGAGTCAGGAATCAACCACCAGTGCCTCAGGGGCAACGCACATTCATTTGGACAATATGGCCGCCTTCTCCAGTTTTAATTACTGGCGGACGCCTTTACCCCAGTTAGATTTACACTTGGATATTGTTGAAGGTAAAGCTACAAATATTCACGTGACGGCAAAAGTGGTGGACCCAGTCCAGCATAAAGTGTTCTCCTCAAAAATGGACGTTGAGGTTGATAGCTCGCCAACGCCCTCTTCTTCTGGAGACGGAGACTTGGAGCTCTCTGACGAAGGTGAGGTGAAAATCCATACTGCGAGTGTTAACTTGGTGAGTGCCGAGGAACCAGAGGAAACCGACTATATCGGCAGCATGCACGTGATTGGTCAGAATTTGAACGAGTCCACGATGGCTGTGATCAATGGTGTGGTGCAAGGTACAGTAGGTAAACGTTGTCCAATGAAGGTCCCCCCACCCCAAACCCCACCCCCCACCCAATTTGAAAAGTTGGAAAATTCCTTCCGCTTTTATTATGATCAGACAGTTTTGTGTTTGGACATTTCTGGTTATGTAGGCCAGTGTCCTCCTTTACATGAATGCATATATATATGGAATCCTATATTCAGAAATGCCCTGTTTAGGATTTTGCAATTCCGGATAAGAATGCCAATTTTTTTTTTTTTTTTGTTCCTTTAGTGCATTTATTGATGCATTGCATTGCCATCATACAAATTTTAAAATGAGAAGTATGATGTTTCAAGAAAATACATCCATTTGCCCAAGCTCTGTACTCTACTCTAAATCAGTATTTTTTTTTTCATTTAATGGATTTCATTCAATGGAAAAAAGATGTTAAAATTCAATAGAAATGCCTAAAAGTATATTTCATTATTTGATTTGTTCCATGAAAAATACAACACTTGAGGACTTGTGAAAAACTCAGAATGATGATTTATCGTAAAAATTAAAATTTAGTTCTAAAACCCATCATAACAATATCAACCTGGCCTATGACACATGACCACCACTCCATGTAATTATACGAAGGGCTCTTGCTAATCCTCTTGTTTCTCAAAAAAGCTGTTTTAGTTAGAAGTGCTTTCATCTTTTGTTGTTCTTTTGTAACCTATTTATACAGTATGGTCTTCAAGACCTTTGTCATTAGACCACAGCACATTATATAAAAACTTGCTTTGCTCAAAGATTACTCAAGTCTAGTAATTTGCTGTATGCTGATTTTCACGTACTACCCCATCAAGAATTCTGCATGCTGAGCAAGATTGTTTATTTAAAAAATGAAGTGATATCATTTGTTAAGGATACAGTTCTTGGCAAGTCCATGATTATTAATGAAAAGTCTGTTTCATTGGTTATTTGCAGAGGTAAACTGTAGAGGGTGGGGCATCATTTGCATATGAATATGCTTAACAGTTAGCACTTGGTGATCAATTTAATATTGCAAATTTTTTATCAAAAATTTCCAGATGTGAATTCGCCCAGTGGTATGTATGGAGGCGAGGGTGGGGTGCCCTCATTTACTCACACGTTCTCGGGGATGGAAATGGCCCACAGGGGGTCGACCAGCTCTACAGGGAATACCATTACCAAACTGCAGGTAAGTCCCCTGATTACCTTCCTTCTCCTCCAGGCCCTAGTTTCACAAAAAAACTTTTAAGTTAGTTCCGTGGCTTAATTGACTAGGATTTCCGGCTTTAATTGACTAGGATTTTTATGAGAGTGCTGTTACATTGCTCCTGATAGGGTAAGATGTGACCATGTAACTTTGGTAATTAGGTTCATAGCCAGAGAACCTGTCTTAGTTTTTAGTGAAACAGGTGCCAGGCAATTTTTTAACAATTATCAGGGATGGGATTTTTCTGACTATTATGGGATTTCCGACTTTTTGGGGAGCCAAAAAAAAAAAAAGAAGAAGAATTGACCTTGGCATCCCCCATACATTCCGAGGTTTCCACCATATAGCAGTCTTATTTCTCAATTTTAGTGGAAGATAAGTATTTGGTCATTTAGCAAACAGATAAGGGTCACTGTAAGTTTCATCCATGTCCTACAATTCTCCACTTTGCAATTTGGAGTGTTCATTTAGCCGATGTGAAATTGAAAATGAATGCAAACATGACCTTGTGACATGGAATATCTTCAGGACGTGATCCCCCAGATTCTGCTGGATAACTACCTTAGCATGACTGATGCTGCCCAGGCCCAGACTGTGGATTCTGAAATAGCACGGCATTGTGCATACAGCTTCCCGGCTGTGGCTTACACACTAGGCAGAGAACACTGGCCCTGTCTCAAGGATTTGTATGACCAACTGTCACAGAATATTCAGGTTTGTACTTAATGTAATATACTGTCCTGTATATCTGTGTCAGATCAGATTATTAGAGATCAGTTTAAACTTTACTACATGTCAAGCTGAAGCCAAGGTTAAACTCACAGTATATCTTTAAAACCTATAGTATGTTGAAGAATCTTAGCTTTTATAACAAGTAAATAGAAATCTTAATTAAAGAAACTGTGAAACATAAGTACATTTCTTGGCTTTTATAAAAAGTAATTTGCAGTCTTAATGAAACATACTGTAGACCATAATTCATTATATATTTTAGTGGAAAGTGCGCCGCACGCTAGCATTTTCCATACACGAGCTGGCGACCATCATGGGGCCTGAAGTGACGGAGAAGGACCTGGTGCCCGTGTTTGATGGCTTCCTGAAGGACTTGGACGAGGTGCGAGTAGGAGTGCTGACACACCTGGCAGACTTCCTCAAGGTGGGTGTCACTGACTTATCCTGTGTGCTACTAAACCATGGAAAATTTAATAAGTGACCCTATGAAACTGGTTTAGGAGTTTGATGCAGTTTTATTCATCTCTGCAAGTCGGTGTCAGAATTCTCTCTCTCTCTCTCTCTCTCTCTCTCTCTCTCTCTATCTCTCTCTCTCTCTCTCTCTCTCTCTCTCGTCTGATTGTCAAGGAGAACACCACTTATTATGGAGAACACCAGTCTCCATGCTTCTAACCTATAATTTGAATCAAATGCTATGTACTATATTTCAGTTGCTGAACCCTAGTACCAGGTCCATGTATCTCCCCAAGGTGGCCGAGTTCCTGACCACAGACAACTCTAGAAACTGGAGGTTCAGAGAAGAGTTGGGACAGTAAGATGATGAACATTTATATTTTCAAATTCAGTAAATTCAATATTGCGAGGCTTCAATCCAAGGGGCAAATTTTCACTCCATCTGCACATGGAGACCGGTATTAGAAGTACACAGAAGTCACACAGAGTATTCATTGATTTGAGTGGTCCTTCATGGTTTATATGTGGATAGTATAAAAGATTTAGACCACAGCTGTAATATGGAATAATCTTATAGGCACTGTCAATACTTCTGTCTAATTTGCACTTGTAAAGAATTGAGGAGGTTTATTCATGTGCATTATATAGCTCTGTAGATTATTTGATAAATGCTAAAACTGTTTTCCCCTTGCAGACAACTAGTCTCACTGTGTGAGTTGTTCTCCTGTGATGAGTTGAGCCGGCATATTTTGCCCATTGCTCTCACTCTGGCGGAAGACAGGGTGGCAGAGGTCCGCAGCATAGCACTCAAAGATGTGAGTATCCCTATTGACGCCATTGCTTCATGTATGACCACCAAATGTTCATTTCTCATATATATTTTACTGGGGTAGCACTAGCAAATTTTTTCACTTAGCCAAATCACCACATTTTTGTCAATTTTCTCATATATATTTTACTGGGGTAGCACTAGCAAATTTTTTCACTTAGCTAAATCACCACATTTTTGTCAATTTGTTATCAAAATGGTTATATTTTGGCTAAAACATGTCAAATCAAGCCCTTTTTCTTTAGCCAATTTAAGTCAGTTTTAGCATTTGGCTAAATTGGCGAGTGTTAGCGCTATCCCAGATTTTATCATGCACTATATGAGCACACGTGTTCAAAGAGTGCATTCAGAACAGTGGACTAACAGACCCGAGGATCAAATATGGCGACCCACTAAAAAGCATACCGCTTAATACCGGATTAGACACTAAATAGATTCCCAGCGGGGATTACGCAACAAGCATTCTAGTGAGTCAGCCATATTTGATCCTCGGATCTGTTAATCCGCTGCTCTGAATGCGCTCCCAGACGCACAAATCTGGTGTTGCTGTGCTTTGTGAGTAACACTTCGAACATGTGTGCTCGCACTGTGCATGATAAAATATATGAGAAATAAACTTGTAAATTAGGAAAATGGCAAGTTTTCAGATCAATTTCACTTTCTGTTTCGGCAAGATATTTCAAAGCAAAATAACAATTATTTTCAGACTTTGTGAGTTCACTAAATACTAAAACAGTTGGAAATGATTCTTTCTAACAGTATCATCAGCTTTGTGATGAGCCCCATCATATTTAATAGATATAACAAATGCTTGTGATAAAACTGATCACTCTGTTCCCTTTCAGTTGACTGTAATTTTGAAGAGTTTTCTAAATGATTCTGTCTGATAGTGTCCTCAGCCTGTGTTAAAAATGACTCCTCTGTTCTCTTCCAGTTGGCTGTGATTTTGAGGTGTTTTAACGAGAGTGGCGAGGAGAATGTGTCCCAGAGTTTCTTAGCCACTGCCTTAGACAAGTTTGCTCACAGTGACAAATGGTACAGGAGACAGACGTGAGTGCTTTTAAAATCAAAATCATTATCTGTAAATGGTAGAAAAAGAAAGGGAAAATGTAGAAAATATTTAGAGAGTATTTTTGTTTTGAAAATTAGGCAGACTTAACAGAGGCATTGCCTTGGTTGTTAAAGGATGTATCAATGGTGGTATTTTTTATGTCAACAGAATCACTTTTGTGAACATCTAAGTATACTAATATTCAATAAGATTTCTTGCTCAAAATATTAAAAAATGAAGAATGTCACTTATGATAATATGATATCAAACCAAAACCTGTTTTCAAAAAAAAATTGCTGGTTCAGTACCTTGTATCAAGCTCCCATTTATTATTAAATGTTACCATCTTTCAGCTATGCACATTTGTGTTACCACATTCTCCAAGAAAACTCCTGCTCTGCTGAACAGTTTGCCATCAGCTGGATGCCAGCACTTCTTAGCCTAGCAAAGGATCCAATTCCTAATGTTCGTCTGGCATTGGGAAAAGCACTGTCGCAGTTTGTGATACCTGTTGGTAAGTATCCCCCCCTTTCTCCTCCCATGTTAAAGGGATAATAACTCTTCTCTTAAGAGATTTTAACAAAAAAACCAAGCTTTTTAGAAAAAAAAACAGGGACTAATTTTGAATATAAAATTGGATTCATTAACCATTGGTAAGTATGGGGAAATTGTTGTTTCCTCCAGGAAAATTCATTTTTTGGCCAAAACGAAGAGTTATTATCCCATGTTAACTTTGAAAGATTGTGTGTCAAATGACAAGCCTTTGTATGTGTCACAAAGCCTTCTCTGGTTAAAATGGTTTTCATAAAACTGCTTGTTTGCTAAATATCAGTTTTAGATATACAGATCAACTTTGACTGTAGCAGTTGTTATCTCTTTATGGTTTCTTGATTTTCTGCCCCACCCCCCTTGCTAACTTTTTTTGCAGTGTATGACATATATTTAAGAGTTAAATTCTCTCTCAGTCCTGTTAAATTATTGTACCACCAGCGTTAGCGCTGGCGGTACACATGGTTTCGGTCCCGTCCGGATCGTTCCGCCGGCTCCGTTGGCTCCGCCGGCTCCGCCGGACGGCTACCGTTACCGCTTCTCCTCCTAGACGGTAAGGGTCCTCGTACCCATCTCATGGATTTAGGTCACCTATAATCTCAACTCGTTCCACGTAAAATTTGGGCTTTGTCGGTATTGGGGTCTGGGTCTGGCACTCATTGCAATGCACCCTTGTCTAAAAATGGCAAAATTAAATGCTAATTATCTACCCTACGGAAGGAGTTATGGGAAAAATTTCTATAGACGGCTTTCCAAAAGTCATATGTGTAGATTTCAAATATACCCTTGGATTTGACCTTTGACCTCTACTTCAAGGTCAAATGGGCCAAAATTTTCAAAAAAATGAAATTTTTTACGAAAAAAATTTTTTTTGCCCTGTTATTCAGACACCACACAGACTTAACCAATAATATTATTGGAAAGTGTTACCCTTCAGGTCATCTTTCATCTCCATGAATTTGGGGTCAATCGGTGCATTTTCACGGGAGTAGCGGCCATAAG